GGTGGAGGGAAGGCTTTCCCCAAGGAAGGATGCCTAATGGGCCTGCAGGGGGAGCAGGAGCCAGCAGCTGAGGACAGAAGGAAGGAAACCCCAGGGCTGGCCGGCTGGGAGGAGCGGAGAGAAAAGTGTGGCAGGAACGTGATGGCGGGGGCGTGAGGTTTGCAGGGAAGTTCGAGCCGTGGGCAGGGCAGGTGGTGCCGGGTTCTCACAGGACGTGTTGGACTGGCTCCCTGGGTGGCCTTTGAAGGGTGTGACCTGGGTGTGACGCGATCTTATTTGGTTGTCTCCTTAAGGTCAGAAACCTGATGTTGTTTCGCAGTTTCTTTCCGTTTCCCTCCAGTACTGAGCTGTAACTGACACACAGAGCTGTGTAAGTGTAAGGTGGACAGCACAGTGACGGGACTGACATATTGTGAAATAATTACAACAGGTTAGCATCCGTCATCTCACGTAGATTAAAAAAAACGTTTTTTGCCTTGTGTTGAGAACTCTTAGGGTCTGTGCACTTAACAACTGTCAGGTATACCATATAGGATGTGACCTGTTGTCACCAGGCTGTACATTACGTCCCCAGGACTCACTGATCTCATCTCACTCTCTGGAGTTTTGTACCTTTTGACTACCCTCACCTACATTCCCCCACCCCCACCCCCGATCTCTGTAACCGTGGATCTGATCTCTTTCTATGAGTTCGCTTTTTGTTTGGTTGGTTTTTTTAGATTCCACATGTAAGCGAGATGATGCAGTGTCTGTCTTTCTCTATCTGGCTTGTCTCGCTCAGCATAATGCCCTCAAGGTCCGTCCATGTTGCAAATGACCAGATTTTCTTCTTTTCTATTGCTGAATAATATTCCATTGTGTACATATACCACAACTTCTTTACCTGTCAGTGGGCACTTGGGTTGCTTCCGTGTCTTGGCAACTGTGAATAATGCTTCGATGAACATGGGGGCACAGATATCTTCGGCATAGTCTTTTCATGTCCTAGGAATATAGTCCCAGAAGTGGAATTGCTGGATCATATAGCAGGGTTTTTTTAATTGAGTTTATGTTAGTTTACAATCTTGTGAAATTTCAGTTGTACATTATTGTTTGTCAGTCGTGTTGTAGGTGCACCACCTTCACTCTTTGTGCCCACCCCCCACCCCCGCTTCCCCTAGTAGCCACTAATCTGTTATCTCTGTCCACATGTTTAAATTCCTCATATGAGTGGAGTCGTACAGAGATTGTCCTTCTCTATCTGGCTTACTTCACTTAACACAATTCCCTCGAGGTCCATCCATCTTGTTGTGAATGGGATGATTTTGTTCTTTTTTATGGCTGAGTAGTATTCCATCGTATGTATATACCATATCTTCTTTATCCAGTCATCAGTTGATGGGCATTTAAGTTGCTCTTGGCTATTGTAAATAATACTGCGATGAACATAGGGGTGCATGAGACTTTTGGAATTGCTGACTTCCAGCTCTTTGGATAGATACCCAGTAGTGGGATAGCTGGATCATATGGTATTTCTATTTGTAATTTTTTGAGAAATCTCCATACTGTTTTCCATAGTGGCTGCACCAGTTTGCATTCCCACCAGCAGTATATGAGGGTTCCTTTTTTTCCACAACCTCTCCAACATTTGTTACTTTTTGTTTTGGTCATTTTTGCCATTTTAATGGGTGTAAGGTGATATCTTAGTGTAATTTTGATTTGCATTTCCCTGATGATCAGTGATGATGAACATCTTTTCATGTGCCTATTGGCCATCCGTGTATCTTCTTTGGAGAAATGTCTGTTCATGTCTTCTGCCCATTTTTTGATCAGATTGTTTGACTTTTTGTTGTTGAGTTGTGTGAGTTCTTTATATATTATGGAGATTAACCCTTTTTCAGATATATGACTTGCAAATATTTTTTCTCAATTAGTGGGTTGTTTTTTTGTTTCAATCCTGTTTTCCCTTGCCTTGAAGAAGCTCTTTAGTCTGATGACGTCCCATTTGTTTATTCTTTCTGTTGTTTCCCTTGTCTGAGAAGACATGGTGTCCGAAAAGATCCTTTTAATACTGATGTCAAAGAGTTTACTGCCTATATTTTCTTCTAGAAGCCTTATGGTTTCAGGTCTCACCTTTAGGTCTTTGATCCATTTTGAGTTTATTTTTGTGAATGGTGAAAAAGAATGGTCAATTTTCATTCTTTTACATGTGGCTGTCCAGTTTTCCCAGCACCATTTGTTGAAGAGACTTTCTTTTCTCCATTGTATGCCCTCAGCTCCTTTGTCAAAGATAAGCTGTCCATAGATGTGTGGTTTTATTTCTGGGCTTTCAATTCTGTTCCATTGACCTGTTCACCTGTTTTTGTACCAGTACCATGCTGTTTTGATTACTGTAGCTTTGTAGTATGTTTCAAAGTCAGGGATTGTGATGCCTCCCGTTTTGTTCTTTTTTTCTCAGGATTGCTTTAGAAATTCGGGGTCTTTTTTTGCCCCATATGAATTTTAGGATTCTTTGTTCTAATTCTGTAAAGAATGTCATTGGGATTCTGATTGGGATGGCGTTGAATCTGTAGATTGCTTTAGGTAGAACGGACATTTTAACTATGTTTATTCTTCCGATCCACGTGCATGGAATGTCTTTCCATCTCTTTATGTTTATGTTGTCATCCATTTCTTTCAGGAAAGCTTTGTAGTTTTCGTTGTATAGGTCTTTCACTTCCTTAGTTAAATTCACCCTGAGGTACTTTATTCTTTTTGTTGCAATTGTGAATGGTATTGTGTTCTTGAGATCTTTTTCTGTTAGTTTATTATTAGAGTATAGAAATGCTACTGATTTACGTTGATTTTATACCCTGCAACTTTGCTGTAGTTGTTGATTATTTCTAGTAGTTTTCCAATGAATTCTTTGGGGTTTTCTGTGTATAAGATCAGGTCGTCTGCAAACAGTGAGAGTTTCACTTCTTCCCTCCCGATTTGGATTCCTGTTATTCCTTTCTCTTGCCTAATTTCTCTGGCCGGGACCTCCAGTACTATGTTCAATAAGAGTGGTGATAGAGGGCATCCTTGTGTCATTCCTGTTTTCAGGGGGATGGCACTCAGTTTTTACCCATTGAGTATGATGTTGGCTGTGGGTTTGTCGTATATGGCCTTTATTATGTTGAGGTAGTTCCCTTCTATCCCCATTTTGTTCAGAGTTTTTATCATAAATGGCTGTTGGATCTTGTCAAATGCTTTCTCTGCATCTATTGAGACGATCATGTGGTTTTTATTCCTCAGTTTGCTCATGTGGTGTATCACGTTGATTGATTTGCGGATGTTGAACCATCCCTGTGTCCCTGATATGAATCCCACTTGATCATGATGTATGATCCTTTTGATGAATTGCTGTATTCCGGTTGCCAAGACTTTGTTGAGAATTTTTGCATCTATGTTCATCAGTGATATTGGCCTGTAGTTCTCCTTTTTCGTGCTGTCCTCGTCAGGCTTTGGTATCAGCGTGATGTTGGCCTCGTAGAATGTGTTAGGAAGTGTTCCATCCTCCCTAAGTTTTTGGAATAGCTTGAAAAGGATAGGTATTAAATCTTCTCTGAAAATTTTTGAGGAACCTCCATACTGGTGGCCATGGCGGCTCCACCATTTTACCTGCCCACCAACAATGCACCAGGGTTCCGTGTTCTCCGTGTCCTCTCCAACACTTGTTATTTCCTATCTTTTTGATAACAGCCGGTCTACCAGGTGTGAGGTGATAGCTCATTGTGGTTTTGATTTGCATTTCTCTGATGATTACTTATCTTGCACACCTTTTCATGCACCTGTTGGTAATTTGTATGTCTTCTTTGGAAAAATATCTGTTCAGGTCCTTTGCCAATTTTTTAATTGGATTATTTGTTTTTTGCTGTTGAGTTGTGTGTGTTTTTAATGTATTTTGGGTATTAACCCCTTATCAGATACACGGTTTGCGTATATTTTTTCCCATTCCGTAGGTTGTCTTTCGTTTCGTTGGCCATTTCCACAGGTTCTTGATGTTGTAATTCTAGCTTTGCAAACACTGAACTGCTCACTGCACACATTGCCCCTGCAAAGTGGATGCAAGACCACAAAGCTGGGGCCAGAGAGAGGGGGAGGCAGCCCGCTGGGTGCACCTGCCAGCTCCATGACGTGCCCCACCTGTCCAGCCTCCCAGACTGCACCCTTGAAATGCACACCCAAGCCACACAAGTTGCCGCAGGTCCATCTTCAGTAGACACCTGTTAAGGACAAATGTCACATGTGTGAATGGCCGCCCCCTGCAGCAGGAGAGTGGTCATGAAGCAGTTTGTTAGGGGAAAGATTCTTCTGAAGGTGAGATCCCTGGAAGAGGGTGGAGAGAGGAGAAGCCTTCAAAAGGCAGATCGTTGGCAGTGAGAGACCGGAAAGCAGTGCCTCCCGTGTGTCCGTTCACTCAGAACGTTTTATGAGGTCTCTACTTCAAACAAGCTGGGGTTGCAGAGATGAGCGAGACTCACAGAGCTTCCCCTGAAGACCACAGGGGCTCTGCAGTGTGTTCCCAGGTTCTGTGAATCTGTGAGCAGACTGGAACTTCTGCGTGAGAGCTCCCTTTGGAAAGTAGCTGTCTCACGCTCTGCTTGCCCCGGAGCTGTGGGATACTCTTCTGTTCCAGGAACCGCAGGGGCAGGTGGCCTGGACAGGAGATGCAGAATGTGGTTTGAATCCTCCTGCCACCCCCAAGTGGCTGTGTGCCCCAGGTCCCTTTGAGCAGCTTCCATTTTCTTCTCTTTGTAAATTGTACCAAGTTGAAATAAATGCTCTCTGAGATCTACCCCAGCACTAACATTTTGCAACCCAAGCCTGTCCCCTGGCAGTGGGGGCTCATGAGGAGGGGTGGGCAGGGCAGCATTGGGGTTAGGATTTTCCTTGTCTGCTTCGAACCCTGGCCCGCAGGTCTCTGGGAGGTGGCATCCGTGGGTGCTAGGCTGCTGCCATGAGCAGCGGTGTCACCAAGTCCACCTCCACCCTCACAGGTGCGCCCTCTGCTCCCGGGCACGTCGACCATCATGATCCACGACTTGTGCCTGGCCTTCCCGGCCCCTGCAAAGGCTGCCGTCTACGTCTCGGACATCCAGGAGCTGTACGTCCGCGTGGTGGACAAGGTCAGTGGCGGCTTCCTGATATGGCTCCCTCTGCTGATTCGTAGAAACCAGGAAGATGGGCAGCTGTGGGAGATATTTTCCCTGTGTCCTCCGCTTTTTCTCCTGGTTTCTGCGTCTCCCCTCCTTCCAGGTTGCGCAAGCTCGTGCTCTCTCTCACTCTGTGGTTCTGTGTGCACGATGCAAGTAACCTGTGAGGCTGGACTTCTTCACTCCACTTGACATCAGTCAAGCTCGGCTGTAAATGCCCCTTGAAGTTGTCCCCATGGTAGCCCTGACTGGGGAGTCCTGTCCTCTAGCTGGTGTGGGTTGCTAACCAGCCAGGTGCACACCTTGCTCAACAGGAATTTTTCTCCCCAGTGTGTATGTTTTCGATTCTCAGAAATTTCAGTGGCAAATCAAGAAAACTCACTGATGCCAAATGCTTTTGCAAAATGAATACATAATGGATCTAGGCTTTTCCTTAATGTAAATAGGGAATTCTCGTTGCTCCCAATACCTGAAGTAACTGCAGCCAGGCCCTCAGGGGTCTGCTGTCAGCTGCCCGTGTTCCTGCGGGAGAGAATGGGGACTGCGTTCTCGTACACAGCCTCAAATGTTCTCCTGTGATCTTATTTCCAAACTGGTAATTTGCGGACCAGACTTCTGTTTCTTCACTAGGCGTTTCTGACTCCCGTTTCCTAAAGTTCTTACTGTGTGTATTATATGCTGCCAGGTGTGAGCTATTCGGCCAGTGCGCACTTAGTGGACTCCGTCTGTGTGCCTGCTACAGTTCTCAGCCGTGGCTTATTTCTCTTAGTAGATTGTTCTTTGAGAGTGAGGAGTGAGGGGCCAGCCCCATGGCCGAGTGGTTAAGTTCACATGCTCCGCTTCTGCGGCCCAGGGTCTCGCTGGTTCGGATCCTGGGTGCGGACACGGCACCGCTGGTGGGGCCACGCTGAGGCAGCGTCCCACGTAGCAGAGCCAGAAGGACCTACAACTAGAATATGCAACTATGTACTGGGGGGCTTTGGGAAGAGGGAGAAAAAAAAAGAAGATTGGCAGCAGTTCTTAGCTCAGGTGCCAATCTTTAAAAAAAAAGAGTGATTTATGCATCTAAGCATCCCCAAGGCCCTTGTATACAGTAAGCACTTAATTGACTTTCATTTGTTGATTGGCTGATAGTCTGGAGGTCAACTCAGGTGGCCCCTGCCCGATTCCCAGGGCTAGGGCTCTGAGGTTGGTGATGATTTCTCAGAACGTCGCAGGGGCCATAGGTGATAGCATTGGGCATTCAGAGGCCGCCCCTGAGTCTCTGTCCCCCACGACGTAGGTGGAGATTGGGAAGACGGTCAAGGCATATGTCCGCGTGCTGGACTTTCACAAGCAGCCTTTCCTGGCCAAGTACTTCGCCTTCATGGACCTGAAGCTCCGGGCAGCTTCCCAGATTGTCACGTTGGTGTGAGTCCTCCCGGGGGTCAGAGGAGGGCGGCCTGGGGACAGAGCCGACTGGTCTGTCCAGGGGGAGGAGTCCCAGTCCTTCCCTCTGTTCCAGGGCCCTCGACGAGACCCTCGACCACTACACTGCCGCGTTCCGCGTCCACGGCGTGGCCATTGGCCAGACCAGTCTCACTGCAACCGTGACAGATAAAGCCGGACAGAGAATCAACTCGGCCCCTCAGCAGATAGAGGTAGAGCTGCCCCTCTTCAGGCCGCACAGGTCGGCCCAGCCCCTCCTGCAGGCACCGGGTCACACAGCCCCTCCTGCAGGCACGGGCAGTGGGGAGGGGCTCTTTTTTGTGATGGGCTGGGAGTTTTAGAGATAGTCCAGGAAGCCACCACAAGAGGCCATATTGAAAGCCCTACAGTGCCCTATAGCGTCCTCTGATTGACAGGGAGCCTTTACTAGTCCCCGGGACCTGGGGGCAGCGCTGGAAGGAGCGGCTGACTTCAGCTCCCTCTGGGACATGGGGGCATCATGCGGCTCAGAGGAGGGGTGCGCCTCATCACATAGCAAGGGAATGGCAGGACATTCTTTAAACCCTCGAAGTGCCAGATGGCAGTGGCCAGCTGGAAGCCGCAGCCAGATCTGGGCTCACGTGTGGACACACTTCTTGACAGTCAGTCTGAACTTTAGAACAGGCCCTTAGAAGCAGTGGGCTTCTGGAGCAAACAGCTCCTGCATGAGGAGGCTCTCAGGTCCCCCGGTGTCATCTCAGTGTGTGGCAAGGCTGGCTCATGGTGTCAGGTTTTGACAGGAGCCCCACAGTCTACAGGGGCCAAGGCAGCCTTGGCCAAGAAATCATGCCCAAGTGTATGTTCCCCAGCAGCAGTGAGCTCTGTGGCTCCTGCTGTGGGTCTCAGCCTCACGGGGCCGGTGGTCTTTATGGTAATCTGTGTTCTGAAGCTGGTGGGTGCGAGTGTGCCCCCGGGGGAGGCACCCTTCTTCTCCGGGGCTCAGGAGGCGTTTCTGCCAGTACGCAGCGCCGCCTGGCGGAGACGGGTCCTCGCGCAGGAAGGCGCCGAGTGGCCGCTCGCTCACCCATAAGCTCTTCCTCTGCCCCTCCGGGCGGGGCTGGTGGGGCGCAGGAGGAGGAACTGGGGCTCTGCCCTGCCGCAGATATGGGGCATCCTTGCCTCTGTCCCCAAACCACACTTTCCTCCCCTGAAGGGTTTGGAGGGCATTGAAGTGGAGAACTATTCTAAGGCAATTTGTCAGGAGAAATTTGGTGAAGGGCCGACCTTCCAAAGAGGAGTTGGGGCAATGTCGGGGCAGTGGACTGGAACTTCTACACGCGTCGGGGTCCCCCGGGAACTCGATAGAGCACAGGACCCCACCCGGTTCCACAGGCCTGCGGTGGGCTGGAGAGAGCATTTCTTGTGGTTCCCAGGTGACATTCACAGACAGCGGACCCCCCCACCAAGAACCACGGATCCTCGGGCCATAGGTGGGATTAGATCCTCTGGGGGGCCGCTCTGGCTCCCCCAGAGTTGGCCAGGACCCCAGACCCTCACCGGTCACTCTCCATAGAGGAGTGATGTCCACGCACCCTGTTTCTCTCTCCCTGGAAATGTCGGATGTGAATTATGATGCCTGGCTGTGTGAGCTTGAAACACAACCGTCCCCTTTCTCTCTTGTGTCTCCACCCACAGGTCTTTCCCCCGTTTAGGTTAATACCCAGGAAGGTGACGCTGATCATCGGGGCCATGATGCAGGTAGGAGCCAAAGGCCACATCCTTGCCCCACCCCAATCGCAGCCAGCCATCAGCAATGCTGTCCGCTGCCTGCCCGCCTGGGGCGTCAGAAAGGGCTGAGATGGAATGCTCGGGGCGTTGGCGCCCTCGCCCTCTGAGGATGAGCTGGGGCTGGCCGGGGGAGCCGGGGCTGACAGGCACTGCTGTTTCTCCCCGTTACAGATCACCTCCGAGGGCGGCCCGCAGCCTCAGTCCAACATCCTCTTCTCCATCAGCAATGAGAGCGTTGCGGAGGTGAGCGGCGCCGGGCTGGTGCGGGGGCTTGCCGTGGGCAATGGCACCGTGTCGGGGATTGTGCAGGCCGTGGACGCTGAGACCGGCAAGCTCGTCATCGTGTCTCAGGTAACGGGCCTGGGCTTCGTTGCAGGTGGTGCCTTCCGAATCCACCCCGGACATGGGCGGTCTGGGGATGGGCGCCCTGGCCAGCTGGCCCCCAGCGACGGGGAGGATGCCCTGTTTACGGGTTTGGGCTCTGCTCCTGAGGACCATACTCTCCCAGGGTCCTGTTTCTGCCCTATGAGTCCACCGCCCCTGCTGGGGCGGCCCTGCCAACTGGGGGCACCCAGACCCCTGAGGCTGCTCCTCCCCAGACGGAGTCTCCCCAGCTGCTCCTTAGGGGACAAGTCACCAGCCCCCGCCCCGGGGACACCCAGTGCACCATGGTGGCAGCGGCTGTGATGGTGGCCTCTGCATGGGGCTCTTTACCCTCACCTCCTCTGGTCCTTGGCACCCTCGTGCATTTTGCTGCTGTCCCCGTTGGTAGATGAGGGGCCTAAGGAGCCAGCTGGCGGCCCACAGCCACTGCACAGGGGTTCCGGGACTTGACCCGGGACGGCAGACGGCAGAGCTCTTGGCCGTTTGTTCATTTTGAGCAGAGTGTGGGGTGGTCGGATGGGAGAGAAGGGGTGCTGGTGGCTCTGACACCCTGTGGACTGCAGTGTGTTTCCAGAGGCGTGTGCTGGCTTACCTGCTGTAAGCGTGCATGGTTAGACACCAGTAGTGTTTCAGATCTGGATTTGTATTTCCAAGAGAAAAAGAAAACCTGGGTCATCCACTAATACCTTTTGCCCCACTGGAGGTGCAGTTATCGCCCCAGCCCCTTCTCCCTGGGGAGGGATAGTCCCTAATTGCTTCTCTGGGTCTGCAGAGATGCTAGAAGGCTGAGTTAGGGGCGTCCTCTCCCCGGGAGCACCTTCCTATCCCGCGTTGGTGGCGCTAACTCGAGCAGGTGGGAGCTGGTGTCTCCGAGTCTGGCGGTTTCCCGGCTTCCCGGGGGCGGGGGCGGTATGTCTTTGGGCCTCTGGGAAGCAGGTGGGAGATGGCTTCCGCCTCCTGAGAAGGCTCAGGCACTGGATTCGCCCTGACACCCTTTGCCGGCGGTGACTTGCAGAGCATCTCGGGGGCTGCTTGGTGCTCACAGCTGTGCTGGAAACCTGGGCTCCGGGAAGAGCGTTGTCTTGTGTGTGACCTGACTGTGGACAAGCACCTTTCAGAACCCAGTCGTGCTGTTCCTCGTCAGGAACTGGGTCCCCTGAGCTTCCCCTGAGTTCAACTCATCTAAACACAGCGCCCGGGGGAGCTGGCGTGGGTGCCGCCCAGAGCAGGGCAGGCTGAGGTGGCCTCTGATCTGACACTGAGCTGGTTGATTTACTCCCTCTCCTGCAGTTTCAGCGTCTCCTAGTTTCCCAGTTAAACCGGAGTCGTTTTGCATCGAGGGGGTGGATGCCCTCATTCTGCCTGTCGATTTTATAAAGGCAAGAGAGCAGTGAAATGGGAAAGTCTGTCCTGTGGCACACAGCAGGCTTCAGACAGACCCCCTGGAGAGGGAAACCAAGGACCAACGCCTCGCTTTTCTCACCAAAGAAAGGACTGTGGCTTTAGCAACTGGCTCATTTTTCTCCTCCTGGGGGCCCAGGTGGCTGAAACAGCAGCTGGCTGGAAATTCGGCGAGAGTGGCGCCCAGCCACGCATTTCCCTCCCGGCCGTCACTCCTCTCTGGGGTCTGACCTTGCTGGGCCACCTCCCTGCATCCCCCATCTGGCAGGTTGGGCGAGGAGCTGAGGGAGGGCCCTGGTGCCCCTTGGCAGATGGAGAGGCTGTGCCACCAACTCCGTCTGAAAGGCATCTCCCTGAGCCCAGGGAGGCGGGGCCTCAGCCTGAGGCCCACATGTCCATGAAGGATACATGATTCTGGTCAAAAGCTTCCAGTTCCATCTGTCCAAGAATCAGCACCCATGGCCAAGGGAGGGTGCCGGACTGGCTGGAGGGGACTGAGCAGTGAGAAGGACAGAGGGAAGGGAGGGAGTGAATGCTTATTGAGCCTGCTGTGTGCCAGGTGTTAGCCCAGGTCACAAGGCACAGGAGTTGGGCTCAGCACGAGCACAAGTAAAAAGGGTTCTAGTAGCCTGGATTCAGCATGAGTCAAGAGTACTGTGAATAAGCCAATAAAGTTAGTCTTTGGCCAGATTAATAGGAATATAGAGTTCAGAATGAAGGAGGGTATAAGATCTACTCTCAGACTCTACCTGAGTCCTGCATTCCTCCCTGTACTCTGCACGGTCAGAGGGGTCGACAAGCTGGATTTGGGGTTGGGAGGGTCTGGAGACCTGTCCTGTGAGGGCTCCCCAGCCTAGAGAAGAACAGTGCCCAGTCACTGCCCCCAAGTCCCTGCAGTGCTCGCCCAGAGCATCTGGACCAGACAGGTGTCTATGGGCTCAGAAGACCAGGCTGGGACCCCACAGAGGGACGGGAGGGCAGTGGCCAGATCCGCCTGGGGTGAGCCACCCGCAAAGCCAGGCAGCCTCGGGCAGAGAAGCATCATGCTGGATACCCTGTGGGTGCCTTCTGGCCACGTGACTCTGAGCTGGCCTCGGCAGGAGCCTCCCTCCTCCGAAGGGTCCCTCATGGCCCTACCCTGGCCGGCCTGAGCCTGAAGCCCTTTTCCTAGGATCTCGTGGAGGTGGAGGTGCTCCTGCTCCAGGCGGTGAGGATCCGTGCCCCCATCACTCGGATGAGGACGGGGACCCAGGTGAGGCGGGGCCCTCTCCAGCCCCTCCCGTCCGTGCTGTCCCGGCAGCCTCTTGGCAGGTCTGGGACTCTGAGTTCCAGTTCAGGAAGAGCTGGGGAGCCGCTGCTAGGATGCTGTGCCTGCTCCATTCCTCTGCACCTGCTGACCCTGCGTGTCCACGGGGCTCGGCGTCCCCTCCCGGAGGGCCTGCCCTGTGGTCCTGCTCCAGAGCGCAGCGTCTCTGTTGGTCTCCCCCCCTCCCTCATGGCATGAAGCTGCTCTTGTGTTAGCACCCGTCCCCTCCTGGTGCGTGTGGTGCAGCCAGTGAGCGACGCCCGCGTCTCCCCACGCCTTGAGCACCCGGCACGGGACGGGAGCGAACATTTGTATGGCGCATCTCTACTGAGTGCTGTCTGCACGTTCATTCATTTGCTGTTCCTAACCACCCCCTGAGGTAGCTGCCAGTGTCTTCTCCATATTGTGGTTGGGGAAATGAACACGAGAAAGCTGAGGCGTCCCCCAGGGCCACGCCGGGTCAGTGAGGGATCCGGGAGTCCGCGCAGGCAGCTGGCTCTGCTTCCCTGTGGCTGCGTCACCTCCCCGGTGCCCTCCAGTAGGCACTCAGTCAACACGGTTGAAGGAGGCCCTGAGTCCCACCCATGCCTGTCCCACGTGAGCAGGGACCCCCTGCTAGATGGAGAAAGAGGAGCAGAGCAGGGGCTGCGGGCAGGGGCGCTGTGCTGCCAGGGGCTGCCAGACTCCCAGAGCTCCAGGGGTCTCTTCAGGAATGGGGACTCTCGGCCACAGTGGACCCAGCTCACAGCCCAGGAAGGACAGCGTGGGGAGGGCAGACCCAGCCCGCGGCCCGAGGAGGACAGGGTGGGGAGGGGCTGCTTCTGTCTTTGATCCTTTCCTCTTTCATGAACGTTCTGCGCCTGTGCCGTGCCATCTCTATCAGGGAAGAACTGGGCACAGGTCCCATTGCCTGGAGGAGACAGGAACGTCCTCGGGCAGTGGAGAGGCAGTGCGGGTGGTGCCCCAGGGTGTGGGGGGCACTTTGGCAGTGGGACCCTGGTGGTCATGGGATCTGGCCTCTCCCCCACAGATGCCCGTTTACGTCACTGGGATCACCAACAACCAGAACCCTTTCTCCTTTGGCAATGCCGTGCCAGGCCTGACCTTCCACTGGTCAGTCACCAAGCGGGACATCCTGGACATCCGGGGGCGGCACCATGAGGTAAGCCCGCACCCAGAGCCCCCACCCTCCATCCCAGGCCAGCATCTCTGCTCAAGGCCTGCACCTTGACGCCCAGGCTGGTCCTGGTCCCTTTCTGCCCCTCTCAAGGCTCATCGGGACACTCTGGCACTTTTGTGACTTCCCTGCAAGGCCTTATCCATGGACAGTGGGGGACGCTGGGGCGGGGCAGGCATGGGCATGGTGTGTCTTAGAGGCTGCCTGAAGCTGCTCTAGTGAAGGATGAATACCTACCCCCTACCCAGTGGTGCCAGGCTCCTGTCCCCAGTGCCGGGGGCTTCCCCAGACTGCTCCCGTGGTACATGGGCAGTGTGACCTATTCACAGGCACCCCATAACAGGGCGTCTCTGCGGGGAACCACTGCAAGCCTGGTGTCCCTTTTAGTGTTTCATAACCCACCTCTGTACACTAAAGGCTCTGAGAAGTCCTCCGTAGAATGCTGGCTCATGTGGGTTGGCCCAGCGTTTTCTACGTGCACCTGTGAACATCGTGAAACTAGGGGACGGATGGCATGCTGCCTTGTGCTGGGGGGACCAGGCTGCCCGTCCCAGGGTGACAGGCCCTGAGCGGGGCAGGGAGGCAGCAGCCTTTGAGGTCAGGCAGGCGGCTGTCAGGGAGTCAGGGGCTCCTGCTGGGCTCTGCACTTCGGAGGGTGCGGGGCCCTGGGGCTCTCCCTGAAGAGTGTTGGTCTGTCCCAGGCGTCACTCCGGCTCCCGTCACAGTACAACTTTGCCATGAACGTGCACGGCCGGGTGAAAGGCCGGACCGGGCTGAGAGTGGTGGTCAAGGCCCTGGACCCAGCGGCTGGGCAGCTGCACGGCCTCGCCAGAGAACTCTCTGATGAGATCCAAGTCCAGGTAAGGGACAGGTGTGCAGAAGCCACCGTCAGAGGGGGAGTGCCCAGCGGCTGTGTGGGCACACTGCGGGTGGCATGAGGCTGGGCCCTGCGCCAGCACTCGCTCTGCGGGGTCTGGCCGGGCGTATGAGGTGCTCTGGAGCTCAGAGATGGGCCGATGGGGCCTCACAGAGGAGGGACATTTCGGGATGGTGGGGTCGGCCGGAGGGCCAGGCGGAGGGAATGGCATGTGCAGAGTCCTGGAGGTCCGAAATAGCTTGACGTGTTCCAAAACAGCAGATTATTCTGAGCTTGGCGTCTGGGAGGCCTTCATGGGAGGAAGAGACTAGAAGATCCTGTGAGCTGGGCGTTCGTTTGTCTGTTTATCTCACAAACACTCGGAGTGCTCGCCGGAGGCTGCCCACCTGGGGCTCCTGCGAAGCCTGCGGGGCAGGGGTTGTGGGCGCTGCTGCTTGACGATGAGCCTGCAGCCTGGGGGGTGGAGCGCCCCTCTGCAGGGCCCGGCGAGTGGGCAGGGGACCCTGAAAGGCCTTGAGGGCTGTGCCGTGTGGAGGTCTGGGAGACGCGGTGGCCCGTCGATTCACAGATGGAAGCTGAGCCTCAGAGATGGAGGGGCCTGCTCCGAGCCAAGTGGGCCCAGAGCCCAACCATCCTCCTCCCACCCAGGGCTGGCCCCGGCCCTCTTCTTCCTTCCCCTACCTCCCTGGCCCCGGGCCCCTCTGTAAGACCGGGAGGTAGCAAGTTGCCTCTGAAGAGCATTTCTAGCCTCAAGGGCCCCATCTGCTAATGTGGGACTCAGTGACCCCCAGGACTCCCCAAATGGCAAAGAAAAGTGAAAGTGGCTCCTAGATACCACGAGAAGAGAAACGGGTCCCAGCCCCTCTTCAAGAAGAGAGAAACCATTCCTACCGCAGGCACGTGCCCAATCAGGGAGAAAGAAGCAGGTTTTCAGAGAAAGAAGAGCCTGTTTACCACCCTTCTCACCCCTGCACGTGCACACGCCTGCACACACACACAGACGTACACACACACACATAAACAGAAATACGTGTACTTCCAGGTAAAAATAAAATTGACTAAGTTCTAGAACGTCTCGTGGAATTGAAGACAGGGTTTTGCAGCTTCCAAATTCTGTGGCCTCAGCTGGGTCACGTAACATCCCTGTGCCTCAGCTTCCCTAGCCGACAGCAGAAGGAGCTTGAGTACATCAGAAACTTAGAAAAGCTGGATCCAGCCCACAGATGTGTTTTATTTGGTTCACTCAGTGCCTTGGAACAATTTTTATTTGTTGCCAACATTTAAAAATAGGAAGACTTTGTATAAAAATCCGATATGCTGCTTATCCTGAAGACATGGCATGTTGCCACATGGCAGAATCAGCAGGAGATGAGGAGCACCTCCCCTTCACGAGAGCTGCTCCCTCTGGTTAGCCACAGGCCCCACCACTCCCTGCTGTCTCTCTGACAGCGAGGCCGAATATCAGTTGCCCTTTGCCGTGATGCTTGCGCTGTTGCTTTTCTGACAGTTAACAAGAAAGTAAGGTATCTCTGTACCTTCAGCTCCATCTAAAGAAGGACAACAAGGAATACATGTTTAAGGAAAACAGGAGGAGACGTTTGTACGTGGATTTCCTGCACAGTACATGTGTCCAAGATGAAACTAATGAGGCTGCTTCACTCCGATGCCACCTGCCTGGCAGAAGGACTCCCCCGACGCCAGAACCCCGTCGTTTGTCAGTCACCATTTAGAAAGTGCTGGCACTCCCAGTGTGTCACAAATCCCACAGCTCTTGGAGACAGGCGTGGCAAGGGTTACTAATTTTAGACCCATTTTACAGATGAGGAAATCCAGGGTTAAATCTATGCTCAGAACACATCAGCGCTGGGAGGGAGGGAAGTTGGGCCCGTCTCCTCCTGGAAAATCACCGTCAGTTCAGACGGTTTTAGACACAGGCCCTTAGGAGCATCCAGCTGGTCCGACCAGATCAGAAGCCAGTGGGGAGCTCAAAGCTGCACTCGGCATCCAGGCTCGAGGGTCCTCAGAGAAGGGGACTTTGAAGGGTGACAGACACTTGAAGATGCACACAGAGAGGGGTCTGGAGTTCTGGGGTAGGGGCTGTGGCGGGTGCTCTGAAGCTATCGAGGGCCTCGGGGCCCCTGGGGAGCGACAGGATCAGATTGTGTCTGACATTGTCAGGTTGTGCTCTGCTGGCCTGAGCCCGCCGAGGCCCCACACACGCTCTGTGCAGATCTGTGAAGAGTGCGGCAGGACGGGGAGCGAGATCAGGGCCCAGCAGCGGAGGGGTCTTGTTCTGAGACGGTCACAGGGAGGGGCTGGGTGTCGTGCTGAGGGAAGGGGGATTTAGATGGAAGCTTCTCCAGCCTCAGTCCTGGCGAAGTCACAGCTGAGCAGACCCTGGGCCCTGGGGGTCCGTGTGCTGCCTTCCACGCGCACGTCCCGGCAAACGAAGTTTCCTCCCGGGAACAGTGGGGAGGCCCGTGCTTCCAGGCTCCGCGAGGCAGCCCCGTCAGGGCACACATGCTCAGCCTGCCTGCTTCTCCTCGTCGCACCCTTGGCCTCTCCTGGCTTAGCCCTCACCGTCATGCCCCAGCCACCTCGCAGGTGCTTGCAAAGCGTTCCTCATCCCTGGGCCCCTCGGCTCTCACTGCTGGGAGAGAAGCAGAGTCCTGGACAGGGTTCCGCTGCGTCCCAGGAAGTAAGATGTGCCCTCTGTTCCAGGTGTATGAAAAGCTGCTGCTGCTGAACCCCGAAATAGAAGCAGAACAAATATTAATGTCGCCCAACTCCTTTCTAAGGCTTCAGACAAACAGGTACGTGACTCAGCGCTTGTCAGCAGGCCTGTGAACGGTGCTCCATTCAGCGACTCATTTGTCAAAGTTGTCAGCAGCTGGGGGACGCTTCCAGCAAACTGTGCATCTTTCTCAGTGTTGTGTTTGAAACAGGGGCAGCCTCTGCCTTCCTCCTCCCCTCGCCATGGACTTCCCTTGCTCTTCTGCCTCCCTTCTCCCCGGGGGTCCCTCCTCTCTTCCCCGGAGCCTAGAAAGCTTTAATGCCTGCTACTGAAATCCAGTGCTTCAAAGGGGGAAAGTACCACCTTGAAAGCGTTAAACTTTCAACCCCCGTGTGTCTTTAAGACCTGCTGCTCAAAGCGTAGTCCGAGTCCAGCCGCGTGGGCATCACCTAGGGGCAGGTTGAAATGCACATCTCAGGCCCTGGCCGGACCTGCAGAATGAGAATCTACGCTTGAACAGGGTCCCCGGGCGAGGGGGCTGCACACTCGCGTCCCAGAAGCGGTTTTAAAGCATGTCTGCAGACATGACGCCTGCCTCGGATTCAGAGGGAGGGCCTGGCAGGTGGTGACTTCGTGTGAACTGCAGCTGCCAAGTGGGGGCTGCAAGAACCGTAGGAGCACGGACATGTTCCATCACACACACACGCTGTTCGCTCAGCCTGAGGTGTCTCAGCACCAGGCTCTGTGTTGGGCTCTGGAACAGAGATGGACGACACCTGGTGCCCTGGAAGGTCTGGTGGGGAAGAGAGGAGGACAGCGTGAGAAAGGCTGTAATGAAACGAGGTGTGACGTTCAAGCTGTAGCCCAAAGAAGGGCCTTGCATCCGAGGATTCAGGGGAGCATGTCACAGGTGGAGATGCTTGAGCTGGGTCTTGAAGGATGCATAGGAGTTCTGCAGGTTAGAGGAGGGGGCTGAGGAGGGGAGAAAGTTGAGGCAGAGGCAGTGACGTTTGCTTAAAGTCGTCTGAGGAGGATCTGCAGGGCTGGGGCACAAAGAGAGAGGTGAGGGGGCAGTCCTGGGAGCTAGAGGCCTCTGCTTCCCGTTTATTATATTAATGATATGCAGAAGGGCCGAAAACGTGGCCTAATTTGCCTTCCACCCAGTGCATCCTGGCAGTAGTTTTACAAACCCCTTTCTGAGCAACTTGCCCGTTCTTGTGCTGTTAGCAGCCCTTGGAAATAGGACAGGGCAGGGCCATTGCTCCACTTTCACAGCTGAGGAAACCGGGGTGGACAGAGGGGATGCCACGTGCCTGCGGCTCACGGCTGTTTGCAGGCCCTGGGACTGCCTTAGCTTCTGTCCCCTCGGAGCCCCCTCCTCTCTCCACCACGCCAGGCTGCCTTATCTAGTCAAGTGAGAACAACTTGCCTCAGAGATGCCCTTCTGCAGGAAATGTCCTGTGGGACTCAGCCCTCACGTCCTTCCCTGCGACCAGCGTGGTGGGCGCTGCTGCCCTTGGAACCACTGGTTTCCAAATGCAGTTTCCTGCCGGTGACCCGCGAGGCTGCAGACAGGCTGCCCGCACGTGGTCCTGATGCACAGCAGGGCCAAGATGGGGCCTTTCTCTTCTCCCAGGAGCAGCTGGGAGCCCCAGACCCCCGGGTCCCCTCGCCGCGAGACACTCCTGCCGCCACTCTCTGTAAAAACGCGTCTGTTTTGTTTTCCAAAGGGATGGCGCAGCCACTCTGAGCTACCGTGTCCTGGACGGGCCTGAGAAGGTTGCCCTCGTGCACATTGATGAGAAAGGCTTCCTGGTGTCGGGGTCTGCGATTGGCATGTCCACAATTGAAGTGACCGCCCAAGAGCCTTTCGGGGCCAACCAAACCATTATCGTTGCTGTGAAGGTAGGATCCTAATTTCCCTCCTCTTCGGAGTAATGAAATCCATAATGCCCAGGTAGTATTTTTCCCCTCACGGGTGTAAGAGTGAATATATACACCTTCCAGCTGAGAAATTGTGTGTCAGAATTTATTTAAGAATAACTCGGGGACGAAGGTCATAGGTAAAAGGCCACAGCATTTTCTGGCTGTCAGAGCCGAGATTCTTGGAGATTACTGATTGAAATGACCTCATTTCATAGATGGGGAAACTGAGGCCCAGCGAGGTCTGTGCTTTGCTGGAACTGGCACCCCAGTGTCTGACCAGCCAGCCGGGGCCTGGAACATGGTAGGTGCCCGAAAGCATTGAAGGCATGTGCTCGATACCTGACCCGGAAATCATGATGTGACACGCATGGCAGCCTGGAGTCAGCTGACCCATTTTACAGGCGTGAAGCAACTCCGAGTGGGAGTGACCCCCTCGAGGTCGCTGTGATTGGGAGTCAGAGTCTGGGTTCTTACCCACGTTGGCCCGGCTTGGGTTTGTGTCCTTGGGCCACATCCCAGTGCTCCCCGTGTCCCTCTGCACCCTGTGTTGCTTCGTGACAGGGACTTTCTCCTTGGGCACCTTGGGTTGGCTCCTGGGGTTTATCCTGATCAGAATTTTCTTTCCGTGTGTCATCGTAGCCACTTTCTGAATCCTGATAACAGAGAGAATACATGACCAGCTTCATGTTTAGATGTTGCCGGTCACAGGCCTATTCCCTTAATTAACGTCTCTTTGTCTCAAGCTGGGCGCCTGGCAGGGAGCCCTCCACCCTAGTTCTTGAGTAAGTGAAAGCGATGGCTCATCCTGTTTGTTCTAGGCACCAGCTGTGTCCCTGTCACCGCAGCGCTGAACTTTGTCAGGGAAATTAGGTCTTTGGGGGCTGGCTTTTTTGGCCAGAATAGATTTTACTGGAGTCAGGGAACTGAGGCTGATCTTCGTGGAGTTCAGGCCCGTGGGCTCCAGGAACCCATCGTCCCCTCCTTTTCCCATCTCTCCTTTCCCCGGAGCTCCTGCGGGCGTGTAGTGGCCTCCAGTTAGTGCTGCCTCTGTGATCCAGGGCGTCGTTCCTGCTTTACATGCCCAGAGGGCCAGGTGCTCCAGCGAATCTGGACAGGCCACCCTGCAGGGACTTCTGCGACGTGAATAGTGGTGTAATTCTTCAAAGTCATGGGTGTGGACTCTGGCGGGTTGGGTGGGCTCACTGTGTAGGGGGTGGGAACCTTGTCACGAGGTTACCATGCTCTGGGGAGCGAGGCCTTTCCTTGTTCCATGACCCCAGGTTGGGCCAGCGCTCAGTCCTTCCTGGGATGGGGACTGGCCAGGGCTAGTGTCTCCTCCCCGGGAGGGTTTTCGGGGAGGCTGGTTCCCGGCACAGCCATCACCATACCTGCTCCTTGTCCTGTAGGTGTCCCCTGTCTCTTACCTGAGGATCTCCATGAGCCCCGCCCTGCACACCCGGAACAGGGAGGCCCTGGCAGCCCTGCCTCTGGGAATGACCGTGACCTTCACCGTGCACTTCCACGACAACTCTGGAGACATCTTCCACGCTCACAATTCCGTCCTCAACTTTGCAACAAACAGGTAGGATGTGGGTGACGCTCATTTCTCACCTGGGCGTCTCGGTCGTACCGGGTTTAATTTACGGAGGGTGACCGATGGCGACCCAGGGAGCCTAATGCAGTGAAAGAAGAGTTTTGTCACTCAATTTCCAAGAGGAGGAGACGTGCCACACTCATAGGGCCACAGGGGGACGCACCAGGCTCGGTGAGGAGGTGGGAGTCGGGAAGCACGGCCGAGAGTGTTTATTACTCTAGGACAGGAAACTGGTGGGAACGGCCCCCACTGGGCAGGAAGCGAAACCTGGATGCCGGGATTTGTGGTCGGAGGATCTGTAATAGGACTTTGTGCACCTGTGAAAGCTGGACTGCAGGGAGATACAAACCACCCTGTCTGTCCCTGTGGTCAGTAACGCGAATCGTCAGTTACACACTCCACAAAGCTGATCAGGGAGGCACACACCTTCCAGTATTCCCTGAGCGTCTGCTGTGCACAGGCCCTGCGGCATGACATCTTGCTGACTCCTCACTGTAGCCCATTTGTATAGGCCCAGAGAGGTCAAGCCACTTGTCCAGGGCCACAGAGCCAGAAAGTGGGGTTTGAATGCCAGGTCCCGTTGGATCCAAGTGCAAGCTCTTTTTGGCTGAGTCTTTTGAAATACCGCTGCAGCCTCGGGCCTAACGTGAGGAGAGAGGGGGCGGGCTCCAGAGCCAGGGAGAGAGCCGTGGCCTCAGTCTGGGCCTGCTGAAACTTCTGAGTCGGCTGGAGCAGTGGTTCTCAAAGTGTGGTCCCAGGCCAGCATCACCCACATCGCCTGGGAACTCTTAGAAATGCACATTCACAGGGCCCAAGAATGTAACAACAAGGCCTGCAGGTGATTCTGCAGGTGGAGAACCGTGCCCAGGGGGCTGCAGAGTGGGCTCAGAGCAGGCGGGAGAAGCCTCAGACCAGGAGGGAGGGGAGGCCTTGGGGAGAGGCCCCAGAGAGGCCCCCCGGGCAGAAGGGTGAGTCCAGTGCTGGTGACCACTGCACCGTGGCCTCCCCACGGGCCCTGCAACAGATGTGTCCCCTACTGCTGAACATGCCAGGGCCGGCGCTAGGAGCGGGGCGTGCGGAAGAACCAGGGTGTGGAGGCGGACCGGGTTCAAGCCCGGCTCTGCCCTTGGTGGGCCTGTGAGCTTGGGAAGGCGGGTCACCCCTCCAGACCCCTGGTCTCCACACAGTCCCATGAGGACCGTGGCCTCGCCCCAGGGCCATCAACTGAGGCCGGGGTCGGAGGGCCTCTGGCAAAGTGTGGAGCTCTGTGCACGCAGTCTGGGCCGTCCGTCCACCTGGGACGTAGGCGGCCCTGGAGGAAGTGGAGCCAGGTCGTCCCGGCCCCTCAGTTACCCCGCAGAAGTCTCGCCAGCCCTTTGTGGTCGGAGCATCTCTCTCCAAGAGACAGTCAGGGCTCAGGGGTCAGAAGGCGTGGCGGCAGGAAGTGATGAAGTCGGGGACCCAGCCCTCACCCCCCAGTCCAAGCCTTCCCACCGGACGACACTGGCCGACGTGGCCTGAGTCTCACTGGCTGCCAGATGCCCGTCCAAGCACGTCCAGCTACCAGCCTGGGGTAGTGCTCATGGCGGATGAGGGAGTGGGCAGGGGCTCCAGTGCTCACTCAGGTTACACCGCAGAGGGCAGCTCCTGCCTCCCCAGGACGTCCTCATGCCTGCGGGGAAGGGCTGGAGAGCGCTTTGCAGGCCACTTTCCTCTCTGGGCCTCTGTTTTTCCTGCTGCAATGCGGGGATGGCAGGGCAGCCGTTCCTGCTGAGGACCGTGGGCTCCTCCCGGGTGATAAGATGAGTCAGACCAATGCAGCTGCTCAGTAAACGGGAGCTGAGTGACGTCTGGGGTCGAAGTCCATGAAAAGCGTCACCCAGCAGAGGACTCACGCTGTGTCTCTCCTTCGGGAGTGGGAGGCCCTTTGCCGAGACTGAGCCCGCGTCTCCCTCCTGTGCCTAGAGATGAGTTTGTGCAAATCGGGAAGGGCGCCGCCAACAACACCTGCGTCGTCCGCACCGTCGGCGTGGGCCTGACCCTGCTCAGCGTGTGGGACACGGAGCACGCGGGCCTCTCCGACTTCGTCCCATTGCCCGTCCTACAGGCCATCTCTCCGGAGCTGGCCGGAGCGGTGGTGGTGGGGGATGTCCTCTGTGTGGCCACTGTTCTCGTCAGCCTGGAAGGTAAGAGGGAGCCTGGCCAAGGGAGCCCTTTGAGTCTAAGCTGTGGGTGCTGAGACCGTGAGGGCACACGGTGAGCGCTCAGGACGGGAGTGGGGAACAGCTCAGCTCCCTGTCCCCCAAGGGAGGTGTGCAAGTAGACATGGATGACGTTCTCGAGCAGGAGCTGGAAAACTGCTCCTCAAGGGCCAGAGCCAGCCTGTCGCCTCTTCCTGCAAATCAGCTGGCCCGGGAGCTCAGCCTCCCCGTTCGTTTACATGTCAGCAGTGGCTCTTTTCATCCTGAAACTGCCAGGTTGAGTGGCAGCCTCAGAGACCTGAGGGCCTGCACGGCCCAAAATATTTACTCTCTGGCCCTGTGCAGAACACGCGTGCCAGCCTGCGCTAGAGCAGTGCTGTCCAGGAGGACTTCCTGCCACGTGGACACGTCCTGTGTCTGCACTGCCTAACGCAGTGCCACTCGCAGCTGAACGCGTGACATGGCTGATGCCGTGGAGGAACGCAGCGTTCCGTGTTAGTTAACTTCGTGGCTGGTGGCACCGTGTTGGACAGCGTGACTGTGGAAGGAAACTGAGCAAAGAGTCGCTGTTGTGCCGATTCAGTGACTCTCGGATTCCAGTCGTTCCCAAGCCACCTGTATATCCAGGAGCTACAGGCACAATTATTCACTTAATGTCTGTTTCAGTTGGCTTTTTTTTTTTTACCTAATTAGATTCATTTTAAGAGGAAGTTAAACATTGCCTTTAAAGAAAAGCAAATATAATTTGCCATAAATAGAATGCGGTGTTGAGTTCTTTGATCGTATCTGTTACATAATGTGATTGGCTTTTAACCAAGATGCTGTCTAGTGACAGCTCTCAGCTTGACGCCTGCTTTGTTTGCTGAGGGGGCTGACCAACCATCCTGGGCGGGGGCAGGGCAGTGCTGGGGGGCGGTACGTGGGGGGGGCAGGGGGCCAGCACACAGGTCATCCCAGGACGGGGGGATGATCAAGACATTCCAAGCAGGGAGCACTGGAGGTGGGAGAGGCCAGAGGCTCACTGTGGACAGGCCACAGCCATGCAGAGGGCAGGTGCCGCAGGAGAGCTGCAGCTGGCCCCAGGTGGTGCAGCCAGGAGCGGAGGCTGGGGCAGCACCAGGCTGCAGAGGCAGCAGCATGCCTTCCCTCCTGAGAGTGATCACTGAGCTCCCCAGACAGCAATGTGGGGCAGGGGTGAGGGACACGGGGAGGCTGGCACAGTCATCAGGTAAGACGGGATTTGGCTGGAGTGTCGGACGTAGGAAAGAAGGGTGACATCCAGTCCTTCCTTCCCCAGGCCTCCCCGGAACCTGGAGCTCCTCAGCCAACAGCATCCTCCAAATTGACCCCAAGACAGGCGTGGCCGTGGCCCGGGATGTGGGATCCGCGACAGTTTACTACGAGGTCGCTGGGCACCTGAGGACCTACAAGGAGGTGGGGCTTTGGGACACACGTGCTCCGTGGCCCGGGAGGCATGGCTGAGTCTCTCGGGGTGAAACTTTCAGCTCTCAATACGGGGTGATCCCCTTTCCTTTAGAAAGAAGCCCCAGCGCCCCGCGAGGCAGCTGGCATCTGGGAGCCTTGAGTCTGGGCTCTGCCACCCACCTCCTCTGGGACTGGGCCCCTTCCCCTCCTCTCCCCAGACCTCTGTCAGCCCCTGTGCAGAATGGCGTGATGACAGGAGGCGACCTCCTAGGGGCGATCCCGCTGCCGAGAGCCTGGAAGGGCCCAAGTGGCTGGGTGGGGGGTTCCTGGGGGGCGAGGCCGTGGGCAGCCGCGTGGCGAGGTGGTGTCACCGGCAAAGTTGAACCTCCCACCGCAAATAACCTTTGGAGTCCTTCTGGAGGTGAACAAAACCGCTCTCTCCTCCATCTGTCTCCAGCAGAGTCTGGCTGCGTTCCTTCCGCGCGGGTCCCCTTTCCAGAGCCTCGCACGCTGTGTCCGTTCAGCGGGTCAGCCTCGGAGCGGGCGTACTTAGTACTGCGGCTCTGCGGTGCGGGCGCACAGGTTGCAGACAGAGGCGCTTTGGGACTAATAAAGCTGTGCTTCCCAGAAAGAGCTGTGGAGAGTGGCTGGGGCGGGCCTGGGGTGGGGCGCTGGCAGAGGAGAGGAGGCACCGGCCAAGATGTGGAGGGTCAGGAGCCGGGCCTGGGGGCTGGAACCAGGGTGTGGGGCAGGCAGAGGCAGGCTCTGGGATCAGAGAGGGACACTTGGATCCGTTCCAAGGACTGGTTAAGCATGTGGGCTCTGGGGCCAGGCTGCCTGGGTTCAGATCCCAGCTGGGCCACTGAGAGGCTATGTGACCTTGGGGGAGTTATTTAGCCTCTCTGTCTCAGTTTTCTGGTCTGTGAAATGGAGAGCATGTTGTTTTGAGGATTGGGTCAGGCTGTGCAGCGTTCGGAGTGGGACCCAGGTGCCAGCTGCCACCGTGGCTGCCAGGTAGAGTGGCTGAAGCTCGTGCTGGGAGCCCTAGGGAGTCATCAGGGACTTTTCTTAAGCCAGGAGTGAGGTACAGCAGAGGTGTGGTTTGGAAAGGTTGCCCAGTGCCAGGTGGAGTGTGAGAGCCCGAGGGAGGGGAGCAGCTGCAGGGGCCAGCCGGGGCCCAGGACGGCCCTCGGCGGGCACTGCTGGGTGGGCGGAAACTGAGGGTGCGTTTGGGAGATTCCGGAGGGAGGGTCCTCAGAGCTTGGTGCACGTTCGGAAGTGGGGCTGAGGGAGAAGGACGCCTGGGGATGACTCCGGGGTCCGGCTTGGGTGACAAGATGGATGCCGGGCCTTTGCTCTGAGAGGGGAGCACAGGGGGGCCGTGTGGGGGGAAGGTGCTGAGTGAGTTTGAGGCGGTGGTAGCTCCTCCAGGTGAGGCTGGCGGTGACGCAGCTGGGCAGGCGTGTCTGGAGCTCCAGGGCAGAGCTGGGATGGAGGTGGGGGTCTCCAGCACAGGGATGGTTCTTGCCCTGGGAGTGGGCGGGAACGTGCAGGGCACACCAGAGCAAGAGGGCAATGGGGTCAAGGCTGTGGGCGCTGTCTCCAAGGCGAGGAGGAGGGGAAAGTGGGAGAGGACTGCAGGGGGGCCGGTAAGGAGCGGGGGAGACAGGGACGGAGGGAAGTACTGGTGGGGGGGGGTGCGGGACGCAGCCTGGCCTTTGGGGACACCAGGCCCGTGAGAGGTGGGGAGTGCTCAGTGCTGCCCAGAGGGACGCTGAGGCCTTCCAGCTGGGGCAGCGGCCCCCGAGCTGGCCCGCAGGGCAGCGGGGTGGGCTCTGCAGAGGAGGGTAAAGGGCACCCCAGCTTGAGAAAGCTGGTCCTGCCTCAAGAGGGCGTGCGGCTGCGGGTGCGGGACAGTCCAAGGGGGAGAAATCTGAGAGACCGGATCCTGGGGGCCTTCACCACCCTGCCTGGGGGGGTCTGCATTTTGGTTGGGTTCGTTTATTTTGAATAAATGACAATAAAGTAGAATGGCTCCTTCTCTCTTTGCTGAGAGATTAATTAACCAAATTGACGAGCACAGGAGGGGTCATAACCATCACAGGAGCCGAAATTCACAACCCACCTCCACCCCATAAATGCATCAGGCCTGCTATGCGGCCCCTGCTCTCCTGCCGGGCCAGGTGGCTTGTTTAGTGGAGAGCGCTGGGCGGCAGTCTGACCAGCCTGGGGTGGAACCCAGCTCTGCCGTGTTCCTGTGAGTCATGCAGGCTTTGAGCCTCAGGTCTGTCCCCTGTGGAATGGGCGTTTCCTGCATCCCAGGCCGCGGCGGGGTCACAATGCCCAGCGCAGGGCCTGCACACAGTTGGCGCTCAGTGGAGTTGCCTTGGCTCCCTCCCCAGATAGTGATCAGCGCCCCGCAGAGGATTGTGGCCCGTCACGTCCGCCCTGTCCAGACCAGCTTCCAGGAGGCAGCGGCTTCCAGAGTGGTGGTCACCGTGGGAGACCAGAGCTCCAACCTGAGAGGTCCAGGGCGAGGGGCGAGGGGGCTGGGTGGGGGTCCTGCGGGGTGTGGGGAGGGGCTTCTGTGCCCATCCAATGGATTTTGGTCGGGTTTTCGTGCTCAAACTCACGCCAACTCCAGAGAGCGCATTTGGCCCCAGCTGGCCCGCTCCTTCCAGCTTTCTAGAATTCCAAGTCCTCCACAAGCTGAGGCTGAGAAAGGAATCTTCCTAAGGAGCCCAGCACCCACAAACGGTCTGTTTCTGAGCTGGAAATGCAGCTTCCACCCCAGGGCCCCTGAGGAAAGCAAGCCCCAGTTTGCCACCATTAATCCCGGAAAGCAATGATGTCACAGGCCTGGCCACTGGTTTTGATTTTCGTAATTACCTCTCCCAAGTCACGCATAGAACATTCGACCCCATCTCCTGCCCATGACAGCCCTGGACAGCAGCTGCCAGGAATAAATAAATCCGTACTGGCTGTCTTTTTGAAAAACCACTTCACTGGTAGCATTAAGCACCGCTGTTCTCGTTCTGATCGACGAGGCAGCTCTGTGCTAACCTCTCTTCCTGCCTCGGTGCAAGCGGACAGCGCTGCGCTGCTGCACAACAGGCCTCAGTGCATTAGCGGAGAACTCTCACCCTCCTGGTGGCCAGAAATAAACTGCCCATGATTCCCTGCTGACGGGAACAGATGACACGCATTAGATGCGGGCTCCAGAGCAGATGCTGAGATTGTGACCTGAAATGGCCCGTGATTCGCAGAGACCGCCTCCTCTGTAGAATTTATCCTCAGCGTTTATAAACCATGGCATCACGAAGCTTCGGGCAGCCCTGGGGGCCCCACATGGAAGGAATTCGGGGTGCAGGTGCCATTTTGCGGCCCACTCGGCCTGTGTGGCCTGCTGTTGCTCCCTGTTTCCGGGCCCTGCAGGCAGGTGCAGAGGCCTCGCTGGGCCAGGGTGTGGCAGCCAGCAGGGCTGACCTCCACCCTTCCTCCCCCTCCCCATCTCTAGGTGAGTGCGGTCCCGCCCAGATGGAGGCCATCCAGACGCTGCGCCCGGAGTCCCTCATAAGCTGCCAGCTGCAGTTCAAACCAGACGTCTTTGATCTCCCTGCACGTGATGTTTTCACCGCGGAGCCGGCGTTTGACGCTGCACTGGGTAGGTTTGCAGGGGTTTGAAGGGGGAAATTGACCTGCACGGAGGGTTTGCCCTCAGTGCGTGTGGCTCACGACAACCATCAGTCCAGAGTGCACTGTGTCAGGAGCCCAGCCTGGGGATGGATCGTCACTCTGGCCTCTGGTTCAGTAGGAGGGGTTGGCGTCCCTGTGCCAGGTCACGCCGTTCTCACAGCCACCTGGCGTCCTGGTTCCAGGCTCAGGGAGCTCGAACTGCTCAATAGCGTCCGTCTGACTCGCTTACCCACTCTGGGCCAGGCACGGAAGATACGGCAGGTGCCCAGTCAGTCCCGCCCCACGCTGCCACAGAACGTCCTGCTGCATCTGGGGCCAGGGTCCCTGCCAAGAGTCAGCCGGGCCCACCTGCAGCCCAGCGCTGGGCCGTGGTGTCTGTCTGCCATCTATTCTCTCTCATCAGAGCCGGGCTGACTTGGCTCTGAGGTGAGGGAGTGAACCAGACGCCCTGCCCCTAGTGTCAGTCCAGTGGGGCCTAGCCAGTGGAGGATTCGGAGACAGTGAGGGAGAGCGCTGGTCACAGGAAGGGTGTCAGGGCAGGCTGGGGCACTGACGAAGGCCTTCCCAGGAGACCCCTGGAGGAGGCCACGCCTCCCCTGTGCTCTCAAGGATGAGTAGGAGTTCTCCAGTTAGGAAGGCAGGGAGAATGAGTAGCCTCAGGGCATGGGTGGAAGAGGGGACAAGGTGGCCCCCTTGTCTCCGCAGGCCGGTACCTCTGCTCCGTCACGATGCACAGGCTGACAGACAAGCAGCTGAGACACCTCAGCATGAAGAAGACGGCGCTGGTGGTCACTGCCTCCATCCTGGGCGGCCACTTCTCCGGAGAGCAGGTGGGGGCCGAGGTGCCCTTCAGCCCGGGGCTTTACGCCGACCAGGCTGAAATCCTCTTGAGCAACCACCACACCAGCTCCGAGGTCAAGGTCTTTGGAGCCGGGGAGATTCTAGAGAGCCTGGAGGTGAGTGGCCCATGCGCAAGCAGGAGCATTGGAAAGGACCCGAGGCAGCCAGGACCGGTGGCACATGCAAGTCCTGACCACCTCTCCTTAGTATTAAAACTAGAGATAAAATTTTTGTAAATGAAAATACCCTGACCCTGTCTTTTTTCTGCAGCACCATTGCCGTCCGTTAGCCCATGCAACTGTGTTAGTTGCTGGGGTTTCTGCTGCTCGTCCCCAACTCGAGGTTAGGTGGGTGAGGGTGGCACTTAGAACAGGGCTGCCCACCACAAAGCCTGAGCTCAGTGGGCATCAGGATGTCCAGTGATGAATTCAGTGCGGGAATGCAGGCCGACGTGGGGCGGGAAGGAAAGCTCCAGCCCCTGACCTATCGCTGACGCCCGCACAACTTGGGGCAAGGTCCCCTCTCTGGGCCTCAGTTTCCCCGTCTGCTGATGGTGGCGGAATGATGTCATAGGTCGTGGAGCCCCGCAGGCTGGGAGGAGGTCTGGGGTGATGTGGTGAGGGCTCCCTGGCCTCTGCTCTTCCTCCTCTTGTCTCGCCGCAGCAGACGTGGCCGAAGCTTCTCACAGCGAGACAGGGGTGGAACCTTCATTGGTGACGGAGGGTCTGCCAGGCCGCAGGGTCGGGCTGCTGGTGATCCGCCGCTAACAGATCTCCAGGCCACCCCCTCGGGAAGTCAGTGCTGGGTGAAAGTTCACGTCAGCGTAGCGTTTTTTTAAAGAGCAGTTGATTAGATTTCATGATTCCTCACAAACAGCCTGAGTGTGGGCAGTGTGCTCCCTCCCTGACTGGGCGCATTGCATGCTGTCTGTCAGAAGTGCCGAGGCAGCGCCACCTGCCCAGGGAGTGGGGCCTGGGCAGGGGTCCCCACCCCCGGCCTTCAGGCTCGGAAGGGAAGCGCAACATGTCAGGTAGAAATGGGGGTGCTCCCCTTCAGCCCTGACGTCTCTCCCAGGTGAAGTCGGGGTCTCCGGCCGTGCTGGCCTTCATGAAAGAGAAGTCTTTGGGGCTGCCCAGCTTCGTCACCTACACAGTCGGTGTCTCGGACCCCACGGCCGGCAGCCAGGGGCCTCTGTCCACGGCCCTGACCTTCTCCAGCCCCACAACTAACCAAGCCATCACCATCCCTGTCACCGTGGCCTTCGTGATGGATCGCCGAGGAGCTGGTCCTTGTGAGTCATGGGATGGGACACCAGCTGGGACGGCCCTGGGCAGGGAGGGCCCGGCCAGAGTGGTCCTGGCTGTCAGCAGAGAGCTGGGAGTCTGAGGACGGGAGGAGTCAGACATGCAGACAGCCCCACATAGTCAACATCGCTCAGCGGGCAGACGTGCACACTCCGTGTCCCGTCCAGGCTCAGTGCAACAGCCAGAGGAGGCTGTTAAACGTGGCCACGTCTCGCCCTCCTCCCTCAGCACTCTGCCCCGAAAGGCCCCACAGGATCTGCCCTCCCAGCCCTATATGACTTGTCTCCCTGACGCACCCTGCTCCAGCCACGCTGGCCTCCTTCCTGGTTTTGGAACACATGCAGCCCCAACTCGAGCCCTTGGCATTTGCTGTTCCCTCTGCCTGGAATGCTGTTCCCCTGGATGGCCCCTTGGCCAGCACCTCCCACCCCCCATCTAACCTTCCTCAAATATCACCTTCCCACGTAACACGAACACTCCATCCTCGCTCCCACACGCTCCCACCCTTTTCTTCCTTCCCTAGTACTATTGCCAACTGTTGGCCTGTATAATAATTAATATAATTAGTTATCATGATTTCTGCTGGGCCTCCCCAGCCAGAAGCTAGGTAATTAAAGACAGTGCTTAGAACAGGGCCTGCCCAACATACAGTCGGTGCTCAGCAATGAACGAATCCATTTATTCTGTAGGCATGGATTAGCACCTGCTGTGTGCCAGACTCTGCTGGGCCGATGCCTGGGAAGCCCCCATTAAATAGAGAGGGCCCGAGAGCAGTGACGCAGTCAGAAGGGATGCATCTAAGGATGTGGCCGAGGAAGGGGGCACAGAGGCAGTTTGACCTCTGCCAGAGGAGGGCGCAGCTCCAAGGAGCCCCTTCAGCCCCATCTGGAAGGACAAGTAGCCGGGCGAGGGTGATGCAGACAGACCCTGGGGTGGTGTGTGGGGTGAGGGCTGGGCATGAGGAGCCTTGAACGCCAGGCCAGGGGCTCAGGCTGTCTCCCGAGAGCAGGGAAGGGACCTGGTCAGGTCCGATTGGGAGTGGACTGAGGGGTGGGACCAATGTCAGGGGCACTTGAGGAGGCCACCCTTCTTCCTGCCGAGCAGGGATGTGTCCAGACTCGGGACAGCCCAGTGGGGTGGCGGGAGGGGTCCTTGAGAAGGCCTGAGGGCCCGGCTGAGGCGGGGAGCTGGAGGAGGAGCGGCCCTGGGGCAGAAGATGCTGGGCTCTCGTTGTGCAAGGCCTTGGTCCAGGAGCAGCGGTGTGCTGTCTGGTGTCTGCCCCGACCTCCATTGTCATGGTTCTCACTCTCGACTTGGCGTGTTCGACACGGCCTTCGGGCAGCGTGGCTGACTGGGCAGCCCCCACCTCCGACGCCCGCAGAAAGGCCTCGTCTGCCCTTGAACGGGTGGGGAAACCGGCCCCTGCCGAGCGGTGAGCCTCTCCACGAGGAGGGTCCTTCCTCCAAGGAGCAGGGTCTCACGTGGAACACGGGTCAGGTGGCCCAGGAAGGCAGGGGACAGAGCAGTGAGGTGACGGCCCCGTGGGACTGGACACTGCTCTGGGCCCCTGGAGGGCGGCCCCACCCTTTGGCCATGCGCTGGGCGGTTTTGGTAACACGTCTTCCCAACGGTTGCAGATGGAGCCAGCCTCTTCCAGCACCTCCTGGACTCCTACCAGGTCATGTTCTTCACGCTGTTTGCGCTGCTGGCTGGGACCGCTGTCATGATCATAGGTGAGGCAGGCTGCGTGGTGTCCCCTGGTTTGCTCCCCCACCCCGTGCCCCCACTCTAACCAGCCGCGTGTCTTGCAGCCTACCACACGGTCTGTGCGCCCCGCGAGCTCGCCACGCCTCCAGCCCTCTCCCCCGGAGCCAGCCCTCGGCACAGCCCCCACTGTGAGTAGCCCCCTGCAGATGCAGCCTGGCAGAGCTGGGGCTAAGAGGAGGGGTCCTGGGGGAGAAGGGGACGCTCAGGCCCTGGACCCCAGCTCTCAGAAGGCCTGGCCCTGGGTAAAAGTTGCAACTGGGGCGTGAGGCACAGAGGGCAGCTCTGGGAGCCAGCGAGGGGGACCTAGACAAGGAGAGCTTTCCCAAGCAGGACGGGGCAGGTGGAGGGGCTGGCGGCAGGAGCTCCATCTGTAAGTATGCACGCTAGGACTGGGTTCCCACCTGTCAGGGCTGCTGCAGAGGGCTCTGAGCTGGGTTTGGACCGGCTGACTCTGAGATGAGGATTCTGGGCAGTCCTAAACAAGACCTATTCCTCTTCATAGTCCAATTATCTCTGGCGGCCCTGAGGCCTCTCTCTGTGAGTGGTTTCTCCTAAAACTGTGCAGTGCCCAACCTGCCCCGCCGTACATGGCAGCCCTTATATCTCCTGACTCCTATTCAAGGTTCTCTCCCCTACACAAGGAATCCTTGAGCTCGTGAGCGCGACCTGGCTTCAAGGGGTCTGTGAAATTTTTGGAAGAGGATGCAGTGTTGTACATAGATGCATTTTTCTGGGTCATAAGATCCCACATGCATCCTGGGCCTCTAGAATCACAGCCTTCTACCAGGCTGCCTATCAGACCTGTGAAATGACACCCAGGGAAAGCATGGAACGTTCAACAGCTCACTTTCCTTGCAACTCTGATGGGTTGTCTGGCTGTCCTTGTGGTGGGCGCCCACCCTTTCTAACTGTGTCTGCCCACACACCCCTCGCTGCACTCGCTGGAGCCACACCAGGTCTGTCATTGTCTCCCGACCACTCCAGACCCTCTGCTCATGTTGGAATCGTTGTTCATGCAGCTTTCTCTGCCAGGAGGCTGTTCCCACCCAGCTGGATGGCCCTCCCTGAGTGCCCCTTGGGCGGCGCACTTCCCTCCATCCCGCAACGTGCTGCTTGTCCCCGGCAGGCTGTGCGCTCCAGGAGGCCGGGGCTCAGGCTCCAGGCCTCTGCGTGTCCAGCCCACCCCCTTTCCCTAGTAGGGCTCATCAAGCCCCTGTGGACCCCCTCAGGCCCAGGGACACCGGGGGCATCGTTAGGGAGGCATCCAGGCCTGCAGTGGCCCTCCCCTGTGCTCGCCCCCACCCAGGCCCCGTGGCACGTCGAGCCCCCCTTGCTCTGTGACTCACCTCCTCTCTCTTCTCGCCTAGATTTTTCTGCCTCGTCACCGACGCCTTTCAACGCACTGCCTGCCCCTCGCAGAGCCAGTCCCCCGTCGGGGCTGTGGAGCCCCACATATACCTCCCACTAGTCGGCCCAGGGGCTGCGCTGGAGCGGCCCACCCGATGCCCACCCTACTGTGCCTGCACAGGTGGGATGGGCTCGGGCAGCCTGGGGCGGGTCCTGAGCCCTGAGCCCGGCCCCGGCCGCCCCGCAGACCGTAGTCCAGGCCGCGCTCGTCGCTGATTCATACGCCTACAACTTTGTTTGTTGTTTGTTTTTTTACTTCAGAGTCTTGCACAGGCTCAGACTCTGGCTCGTTCCCCTTTGCCTGCTTGTCCGGCGTTTCTGGACAACGTGCGCTTATGCTGTTGCTTTCCGAGTCTCTCAAATCGGGACTTTGAGTGGACAGAGCTCTGGCAGGCGTCGTCTCTGGAGGACGTCGCTGCAGTGGTCTCAGGGAAAGGACGTCTTAATCTCTTTTGTATTTTTGTGGGTTTGTTCCCTGTGGAAACTTTACTTTTCCCTAGTCTGGCTCCCACTAGGAAGTGAGGGGAGCGAGCAGCCGTGAGCATCTGGGGCGGCCTCTGGCCACCACCGGGCTGGCTCAGCCCGGGAGCCACGGACACTGCAGGAGCCCAGCGCGGCTGCTTTTGGCGCCCTGTGGGCCACTGTGACCCGGCTTTCTTTGTTTCCTAAGCTGTGCAAACGTCTCCTGGACTCGGCCTCGGCCCCGTAGGGACGTCCCGTGGGGTCCGGCTCGTTCTCTTTGTCCCGGCTCCTCCATCAGCACAGGGACGTGCGATCCTAGTTGGGAGACATCCCTGAGCTGGAGCAGGGGCCTCTCTTTCTGTTTGTGCGTGGGGAGGAGCCGCCGTGCCCTGCCCGAGCACAGACACCCAGTGTTCTCTCTTCCTCCTTTTGTACCACTGTCATACCACAGCAGATCTGAGCCTCCGGCCCACCCGGGTGGAGATGGACCCCCAGCGGCCAGCTCCCTGGGCCCAGGGCCCTCCAGGCAGCTCCCCCACGGGCTGCAGAGCCCGGCGGGGCCAGTGAGGAGGACTGGCCCTGCAGGAGGGGGCTGGGAAGGAGAAGGCAGAAGTCATGTCCCTCCTTCCCAGCTGCCCGTCCTCAGCATCGAGACCTCCAGAGGCAGCCCTGCCCTCGGCCTCACGTGGCCACTCTCAGGAAGGTCTGGAGACGCCCCCAGAGCCAGCCACGCATGGACACTGCGTGGAGCCCGCTGGGACACTGAACCGGGTGTGAATCCAGTCTGCCCTTCGCAGCTGGGCCATGAGATTTATTGTCCTAAAGCCCAGACGGGAAGAACTGTGCCTTGATATTACTTGAGCTCAAACTGACGACTTGGATGTCGATAGGCATTTCTACTTGGTTTATTTAATAAAGCTTTATATAATTTCTTAAGAGCAGCGTGATCACTGCCAGAGTGGCCTGTGTCCTACCCGGAAGTGGCCCAGGCCCTGGTGACTGCCACCGGCCACGTGGATTTGGGGAGCTGCTCTGTTCTGCTGCCCCTCGAGCCTTCCGCACCCGCCTCCTGCCTCTCGCCGGCCTCCGAGGCCTCCCCCCACCACCAAGACCAGTAGGCGGCCAGGGCAGGTGGCCATGGTGTCTTCCAGTGCTGCCAGCCCAGGGCCCCATGGCGCCTTCCCTGGAGGAGGACATGGCAGCCCTGCCCACATGTCCACCCGTCACTGGGTGTCACTCGACCAGCATCCCTTCCTCCCTGTTGCTCTGGCTTCTCCCCCACCCTCCTGAAGCTGATGTCCCCAGGGTCACCAGCACTTCTGCTCAGTCCCTCCTCCCCTGACCCCGGCAACCTGGACTTCCTCCTTAGTGAACTCTCCCTGCCAGGTGGCCAGCCTCTCGCCTCCCCAGCGCCCCCCACCCGCCCCCTCGGCCCCCAGCGCCCGGCCTTCTGCCTTCACCGAGCACCACAGATGTGGTCCTGAGGGCCCCGTGAGGCATATTCTCCTGGTGGCCTCGTCCAGGTGTGGGAATGGATGCTGAGAGAAATCAGGCAGCCATCAAGGTCCCAGGCTACCCAAAGGCACCCCTGGCAGAGACCAGCTGTCCCCAGCATCACCCTGCCTGCTTCCTGGGGATCTGGACCCTGACGCGCAGCTGGGCAAAGAGTAGCCAGAACGCGTGCTGCGTTTCCCTGCCCCTTTGCCGCTAGAAGCCAACACGCGACTATGATGTGAGCAGAGAATAGAGACAGTGTCCCTCCCAGCAGCTCAGGGACTGTCTCCTAAAGGCGGGTCCTCCTCACATCGTCCTTCCTCCGGCTGAGCCCACGGGGGTCAGGGCACCAGAGTCGCCGCGCCATCATGGCCCTGGAGCCTGCACGCCAGCCCAGACGGCCTCGCTTCCTTGAGAGGGAGAAGGGTGCTCCCATGGCTTCAGGACCGGCAGGTCTACCGCCACAGTCGAATCTGCCTGCCAGCCCACCCTGCAGCCACACTGCGCCGCCAGCCACCTCCTGCCCGGAGCTCACCTCCAGCCCCCAGGGACACACTTGCTCCCGCACGCTGAGGTCCCCTCCTCGGGTCCCTACACCCACAGTCCTCAAGTTCCCACAATCTGTCCCTTCCTTGTCTCCTCCCACAGCCCCCTTCTCGGCCCAGGGAGCCTCCCCCGGGGATGAGGTCCTGGCCTCTAGCCTCCCCTCGTCTCAGCTACCTGGTCTCCTCGCAGCCCTGCTTACACTCAGCACAGCCCGCCTACCCTGGACGGGCATGGCCCCTGTGGACACAATGGGGAACCGTAGTTTCCCAGTTAGGCTTTGCGTGCTCACCTGTGATCTTGTCCTCCGTGGAAACTGGCCCTCAGGTCTGCCCGTCCTCCACCCGACCTGGGCTTTGAGGTCAGACAGAGCTGGGTGGCCCCTGGATCTGTGCCCACCTGGGTGCTCAGCTCAGCCTCCTCCGGCCCTGGGCTTCCGTGTTCTCCCTGTGCAGCGGGCACAGTGGTGCCTGCAGAGTCATCGTGAACCTAAGCAAGAGCGTCAGAGGGGTCAGCTCCTCGGTGGGGCAGGGGTGCTGGCGGGCGTCCTCCCCAGAGGTGGTGGCTGATCCCACTCGGGGCGGGGTCAGAGAGGGGGAGACGAGGGCTCGGCTCCCTGCAGAAGGCTTCGGGGGCCGAGAGGAGGAGGGCCCTGGAGGTGGAGGCTACGGGGCCAGAGGTGCTTGGGGCACAAGTGACAACTTTAGGACGCAGAGGCCCTGTCACGCTGGCCCACACTGAGAAGCGAAATGCAGAGGCTGGAAGTCTGTGGGTGCCGTCTCTGCCCTGGTCTTGGTCTCCCCGACCGAACGGGAGGACACTCCTCAGGAGACCCCTGAAGGACACAGCGGGCTCACACACAGCAGGTGCTGCATCCACAGCTGCTGGCACAGGGCCGACGAGCCCAGAGGGAGACAGGACGCCTGTTCGCAGAAGGACAAGATGGAGAGACAGAAGGTGAGCAGGCGAGAGGGTGCTTCCCAGCCCCCTGGACCTCTGTTGTCATTCCTCATGCCGTGTTGCCATCATCAGATCCCATGACCCCTCCCCAGCTGGGACCTCCTGTTTCTACTGTGTCCCCAGGACCTGGCACGCAGGAAGACCTAGAGAGCATGCAACCGATGTCATATGTTCAGCACAGGGCCTGCCCAGCATACCATTAGACTCCATAAATGTTGGCATTGCCCTCAGTTGGGCCTCCTCAGTGACACAAGATGACTGCCAGGATCCAGGCATCACCTCACATTGAGACACAGCAGCATCCAGAAGAGGAGGAGCAGAGAGACAAGCTCTCCCCGTCTCCTAAGGACTAAAGACTTCTCTCCCGGAAGGCTCCTCAGCAGACAGCTCCCACCGTATCCATCGCTGCGGCGGAGGCGGGGGAGGCTCTCCTGGCCAGTCCTAGCCCGTGGCTGGGAGGCAGTGGGATCATCACATCCATGCAGGGTGATCCTTCAGGGTTGACTGGATGTCAGGATGTCACCCTCTCAACATCTTTCACATAAAAAGAGAAGGTCTCGGCATCGGCCAGCTGGGTTCCCCTCTGACGCCGCTGGCTTCCCTTTACCTGGCTCGGGTGCCCTGGAGCCTGACAGAGCTCTGGGCTTTCTTCCCCCAGAGGCCACTGTCACCTTGAAACGCGTGTGCGCCGGCAGTAGCCAGGCCTTGTGAGGAGTGACATGAAGCGCGGCTCAGCTGTCCATCCCACACTGACCGGCAGCTCTCACTCTCTAGAGGGTGCTGAAAATGCTCTTAGCACCACTTAGCGCTAAAAATAGCATGTTGCATATAGATTTTTTTCTCCAGAATTCCTAAGTTTGGCAAAAATTAACTCTCTGTCTACCTATCTCTCCCTGTTTCTGTGTGTGCGTGTGTCTTGGGCATTCTGGAGGACGTTACAAGCTCCAGGTCTGACACTCCAGCCAGAGAGCCCAAACCCGGGGCAGCCAGGACGGGGCGCAAAGGCCCGGTCCGTGGGCAACGCATGCAGCTCAGCGAGCAGGCGTGCCGCACAGGCCACCTTCTGGGGCAGGTAGCAGGTCATCTGACCTCTCCGGGCTGCAGTGGTTCCCTCATCTACCCAGTGGCCGTCCTGACGTCTGTCCTGTCCCCCGCCAGCATGGCCCCCAGCAGGAAGAGGTCCACTAGTACCCCGCCCTCCCCCTCCCGGCCCGCACACCCTCTCCCACAGGACTTTGGGGTGCCTCCTGCTAAAGGCTGAGTGTCTCCCCCCGTTGCGGGGGGGCGGTCAGCGGCAGTCACGTGACTTGCTGTGGCCAATAGGACATGGGTGGAGGTGACTGCGTCAGTTCCGAGCCTGGGCTTAAGGAAGCCCCGCAAGTCTCCACTCACCCCTGTTGTGCTGCTGCCATTGACATGATAACAGGGCAGCCAGGAAGCTGCTGGTCCCAGGAGGAGGAAGGACCCTCACAGGGACCTGAAACAAGCGTGTCCATCCCAGATCAGCTGACCTGCAGACCCAGGACAGTGAGAATAAATAATGGCTGTAAAAAACCACTGACTCTGGGGATGGCTTGTCAGTAGCCTTATTGCGGCAGGGGGTGACGACGCAAAGCACGACGAGGAGTGGCTTCTGGCCGGACCCCTCGAAGGCAAGTTTTCAGCCTCTTGTCAGAGTGACTGGCATAGCTAGCCCAGAGGGGCCGGTCCCTTCAGTCTGTTCTCTCTGGGGCCTGCCTGGTGCTGCCCGCTCAGCCCGTCTTGCTGAGACAGGCTTTCCTGGGTGGCTGGGGCGGGCACTCGGGCAGGAGCGTCCGAGGACAGAGGGCACAGGATGGCTATGCAATGCAGGGCCTGCGCCTCCCTGAGCTCAGCTGGCCTCATTCTTGGGGCACGCACCGGCAGCCGTACGCTCCAGGCTGCTGCGAGGGCTGACGGACACGCGGCTCGGAGGAGCTCCCTGCTCCATCGATGTGGGTCCTGTACCATCCTGAGACCATCCCCACCGGCCTCACCCCCCATTGCGTTGCTCGTGCTAGGACCACATGGGGAAGGATGTTCTCAGGACGGTTTGTTGAACAAACACAGGAGTGAGTCCCCATGAAGGAATAAGTGATTGCAGATTTTCCTCCACCGTGAGGCTCCAGTTTTCTGGGTCACCCTGAGCTTCAGATCAGTGGGGAGAGGAGCGGGGCCGGGGGGGCAGGTGGCGGCTGAAACTCTTAAGTCTATTTCACCCCCAAGGCCCCTGGGGCAGGGAAGTCTGTCCCAGCCCCCCCAAACCACTCCCCCAGCAGCCTTCAAGCCGCTTGGACTAGGGCCAGGCAAAAGCAGCTTGGCAGAGTGGCCGCCGGCTCCGGCAGTCAGCCACCGCTCCTTGCGGCCACTGTGGACCGTTGGGAGTGGCCCGGGTCAGGGGACAGTGGAAGCAGCTGACGCTGACTGCACTCCACCTCCCAGGCACATGTAAGCGCTTTCCGCCCTCCAGTTCTCTGCGTCCTCACCTCCGCCCTGAGAAGCAGGTGCCACTATTTACAGACGGGGAAACTGAGGCATGCAAGGTGAAGCCACCCTTCTGGCATCACACACTGGCAAGTGGCAGAACCAGGATTCGAATCCACACAGATTGCCATCAGGGTTTGCTGTGCACACCTGTTCTTCCCCTGCCCACCTGCACGGGCGGCTGGGGATCCACCTGGAGCAGGAGGCTGTGCGGGCAGGGAACCAGGGCCCGCACCCACTCCCCTCAGAGCAGCTCAGCTTCGGGCTGTCTCATGGGTCACTTTGTTTTCCATAAGAAAAAAAAGTTAATATATGGGCCAGCCCGGTGGCGCAGCAGTTAAGTACATGCATTCCGCTTCGGCACCCTGGGGTTCACTGGTTCGGATCCTGGGTGTGGACGTGGCAGCGCTTGGCAAGCCATGCTGTGGTAGGCGTCC